GACTTTTTAATTTACCTGGAATAAGGGACCAGGCATGACAAGATTTTAAGAGAGATACAATTGTGGGAAGGTGAATCAAGCTATTTGCTATAAGTGGTTTAATCTAGGTTAATAGTGCTAAAAGTTAAATAAGTAGTTGTTTTGGTATTTGCTCTGAAAGATCATATCAATGTAAATATAACTTTGAATTATTGTATGTGGCAAAATCCTAATCCTTTAACTTCTTTTGCCTGATACCATAAAGAATAGACTATTCATGAATCAAAATAAGTCAACCCATTTTATAGAGCTTTTGCTCTAGTCCATATACCAGGAAAGGACAATTGTTTACCTGAGTTATCCCTTAGGATAATTCTTTGGGAGGCAAATAGTATGCAGAGCTAAAGCCAGCAATGGGTCAAGCCAAAGCCAACAAAAAGGAGGATATCTGTTGAATATATTTTGAACTGCTCACCACCAAACATTCTGGCAATCTCTTCTCTATCTCATGAGCAACTCACTGCAGTCAATGGAGAGAAAGCTTGTATTAGAGATCAGAACGTACCTCTTGCACACATGGTTTAAAATTGGACAAAAAGTTGTCCACCTACCTCTAAAACCTGGCCTTGGAATACCTTGCAGGTGTCTTTTTAAATCTTAATACGGTAATTCTGCCCTTAAGGTAACAATCTAAGGAAATCAAAATGGCTTGCCTTGTTCTGCTTATTTCTACTAAGAAGACTCTGAAGCAGGGATGTCAAACTTGCAGCCCAAAGGCTGGATGCATCACGTGCTGGCCACGCCCAGTTTAGCGAAGAGGGGAAATGTCACGTGACTACGTGTAATTGTGAATTTGACACTCCTGCTCTAAGGTACTGCATGTCAGATCGAGCAACAATATTCATTATGAGTGAATCATTATTTACTCGCCAGACATAAAATATTAACTATAAAAATCCAGAATTATTACAATATTTTTTAAAATATATATATTTAAAATAATATTACAGCCATGTATAAAAAATTCAATTTTTCTATAAACTGAGAAAAAAGGTTCAGTCACATGGGATTACATTCCATATCGCAACCTCATTAAGATCTCACCACATTAAGCTTCTTTCTCAGTTGGCAATGAAAGCCAGAAAGAAATCTTTACATATGTGATAGTATGAGTATCGGCTTCTGTGAAAGCTAGAATATTCACTGATATTATATACTGTGTGCCAAAACATTTTTCTCCTGTTAATGTTTATCTGAACAATTAGTGCAGACATGGGATTTAACAGGAATAATCACATGATGAGTACTCCAAGGCCCAGGAGTTAGAACAGAACCCTTTTCTAACGGGAATATGCCAAAGTAATCTTTCCATTTTGCAAGAATTAAACAAACTTGTGATAAAGCAGGCAATGCCTTGGAGAACTAGGATTTAAACATGTACAGCTTCAAATATTAAAGCCAAGAGAATACCATGCCCCACTAAGCAGCCTGCCTAACAATTCTGTAAACATAACTTCTCTTTAAAAAAAAAATAAAGATTTAATGCCATAGTACACTTGATCAATTTTTCCAACCTGAATAAATGTGTGATGTGTGGACTTCCACATCCAGGATTCCTTACCCAAGATGATCATTGCTAAGAACTGTGGGAGTTCAAGTTCAAACATCTCAAAGTCGCCAGGTTAGGAAAGGCTGAACTTAAACAAAACCAAAACAAATATTTTTGTTTTGTTTTGCAAAATGCTTTAATAAGAGCAGACAGAGCTGGGTAGGGCCAACTTCTAATCCCTAAGATTTTTCTATATTTAGAAATAAAATACAGATACCGTATTTTTCAGAGTATAAGACATATCTTTTTCCCCCCTAAAAGGGGGTGAAAGTTTGGGTGCGTCGTATACACCGAATGTAACCCTGCCCACCCACTGGCCCCCACCCTTCGGCCTCTGCCTCCAGCAATTTACCTCCTTGCAGCAAGCAGCAAGAAGAAGCATCCCATTTCAGCTTCAGCACAGCCTAATTAGCACAGGTTGATTGTCCGTTGAATTGGCCTCCTGACTCTCAGCTCTTCCAGGCTGCAGGGATTGCCATTACCTATCACTGCGCGGGCCTCTGCTGCTTGCTGCAAGGTGGTAAATTGCTGCGAGCAGATTTTTTTTTTCTTGTGCTAATCAAGCTATGCTGAAAACGAAAATGAAAGTAAAGCAGGCTATTTGCTGTTTGCTGCAAGGAGGCAAAATTGCTAGGAGGCAGAGGCAGATTTCCTTTTCTTGTTTTCCTCACCCAAAAAGGTAGGTGCGTGTTATAGTCCGGAGCATCTTATACTCTGAAAAATAGGGTAAATCCTCACCCTCAAATCCCAGTTTGAAGATCAATTTATATCAAAACCTGGAAAAGTGATGTAACTTTGGAAAGATTGGCTACAAAGTAGAGTTATGTTTGATGGTGACAGGCTTTCTGGGTTGGATCTTACTGGAGGATTAAATATATCTTCACCTTTATATTATGGAATATTCTTTTTTCTTGTAACAAAATCAATTTTATATGATATTGCTAGAGGTGGGTTAAAAATAGTATGTGATCAATCTTAATGTACCAGCAACTGAAGTTGAGGTTGATTATATTAATATGATAAGATGAAGACAGAATAACCTTCCTAAAGCAGTGGAACTGAATCAAGCCAAACATGTGAGATCCTAAGCTATTGAGAACATCTTGGTTAGAAAAGCTGTTCCTTAACAAATATGATTATATTTGCTATACTTAATTATTTTTTATTTCAACCGAATCACCACCTTTTTCTTCCAGCTGTTTTTAAGAGTGGGGCATTTAGATAGTGTGGAAATTTAGTAATGGGGACATGAAGAAAGGAATGGGTAAACATGTGCATTTGTAAGCAAAGGCAGGCAGCTAGAAATGTGACCTTAGCAAGGACATAGATAATGAAAAGCAGATTGTTGTCTTTCCTAATGATGTGAAAGAAGGGAGTACATGAGCACAATAAATGGCATTGTTGATAATGATGGTATCTACAAACAAAATAGTATCCTGTTTAATAGAATGCAGAGGTGCCCTGGTAAGGTCACCCCAAATGGTATTATCAGAGGCATTCCAGCAATAAAGGTCATAGTATGATTTACAATGTTTTCTTAATCTTTTCTATGTAGCAAACAAAAAGTATGTAACCTGTAATCTGCCTTTATTTGGGGCGGTTGAGGAAGTCAACGATCAATTCATTTGTATATGCAAAACAAATACTTTATTTCAACTATCTTCATTTGCTTTGGTTCTTAATACGATTGCTTTTTCTCACAATATATAAATATGCAAACATCTCTGTGTCAACATTTCCATAAAAGAAGTTTCTCTAAGGAAGGAAAAGTTTAGTATTAATTTCACTTGTCGTTTACTAGACTCCAAGCTCATTTAAATCATTAGATCAAACCAGAAGATGAAAAGTATCCTAAGAACACATTGGATGAGACCAAATATATATTTAGTTTAGAATTTTATTTTCCTAATGTTTGTTTGTTTTGGATAGAAAATGAGTTGGGTTCAATAGAATCATTATGCGATACCAAAGCAGCTGTTTTGCATGCAAAAACATCCAGATTAAGTTTTTAGCCAAAACACTAAAAGAGCCTGGACTGCCAATACAAAGATGCATCCTAGTTGGATAAAGAAGCAATCTGAAATAAGGCACCTTCCTGTAGGCCTTGCAGAATTAGATCAGTTTATTTAGTTCTGATGAAGAAAAAAATTACATCATTCCCCTGAAGGAATTCCTCAATAAAGTGCAATTCTATTATACATTTAAATATTAATTTTAAAACAGCTTTAGATTTTGTTGAAAGAAAAGTTTGCTTTTATTGTTTGTTTCCCTTTTCTTTTTCTGTTACCACCAAACTGATTATCCAGAGTTTTCTTTGTAGCATCAGTCTACTCAAATGGTTTTACAGCTTGGCTTACTAGTTCTAATCTTTTCAAGGGCTTTTACCTTGGTTTGCATAAGATAGTGGGTTAAGGCAGATAAAAGGGTGGAAGCTTTATTCTACTTTAATACTTGAATAGGATAGTTGATGTTTGCAAATAAATTATTTACATTCCCCATATAATTTTGGATGTCCTCATTTTATTGGAAATCTTAGTAGTCTATTCTTTAAGGTATTATTATTATTATTATTATTATTATTATTATTAATAATAATAATAATAATAATAATAATAATAATAATAATAATAATAATTTTATTTCTATACCGCCCTTCTCCCGAAGGACTCAGGGCGGTGTACAGCCTATTTAAAAACACAAGACAAAACAGCAGTTAAAAATTAAAATGATTAAATAGATTTGGTTCAATTTAAAATCCCAGAAATTTAAAATACCCCAATTTAAAATTATGTTGATAGGCCAGCCTGGCGGAACAACAGGGTCTTCAGTGCGCAGCGAAACACCCGGAGGTCGGAGATCTTACGTATTTCCGGGGGCAGTTCATTCCACAGGGCTGGGGCTCCCACAGAGAAGGCCCTCCCCGTCTATTTCTATTGTCTGGACCACCATATTTATCATTTGCGCAGTGGAATGATAGTTACTGTTTGCATGATCTTCTGATATCAAGAAGAATTTGGAAGAATTTAAAATATTCAAGAACATCAGGTTTCAAATCAAGGAGACTGGATCAATTGGCCCGATTGTGTTGGCTTGCTATGCTGTTCATATTGGAAAATTACTCTGATAAGGATCCTGAAAGCCAAAAGAAAACCATCAAACTGTGCCAGATACCTGCCAAGTGTCACTGCTGTTATCCCATATGTTTCAATTAAATAGCCTTGACTTTTCCCTCTAATGTGTGTGCTGCCTGTTCTACAAATACAGTCACATCTGTTGGGCTTTATTTCAGGAATGTGAGAAACAAAGCAAATGCTAATGAAAAACCTGTGTCTGTTTTCTGCTAAGCCATTCATGCATGAGAATTCACAGTTATATAATCTTCAATGATGAATAGGCCTTCTTTCGTTCTTAGGCCTCTTTCTGGAATCAAAGCACTACTACCGCTTGTTTGTCACTCAGAGAATGGAACAAGTGACATGAGGTCATTGAAGGTGGTCTTCCTTCAATTAGGTCACATACACACTGAAGATTAATTGAATACTCATCCTCCTTCCCCGGGGAACCTAGAGAAGTCTAGCTGCATAAAATGTGTTTGGATTCTACAAAGGTAATTCCCAGTACTCTTACCAACCTTATATCTCAATTGTTTTACTTAACAGTGCCAAAAACTGATCTTTAGATTTCTTGCACTTAAAACTACTCTCCATACTATACAATACTACAATCTCTTACTTTAATTATGCTTTTAAACAATAAAGATTTTATGACAAAAGGTAACATATAATTACAATATAGAAATATATATACATATACATACATACCAGTGGTGAAATTCAAATTTTTTTACTACCGGTTCTGTGGGCGTGGCTTGGTGAGCTTGGTGTGGCTTGGTGGGCATGGCAGGGGAAGTATACTGCAAAATCTCCATTCCCACCCCACTCCAGGGGAAGGATACTGCAAAATCTCCATTCCCACCCCACTCTGGGGCCAGCCAGAGGTGGTATTTGCCAGTTCTCCAAACTACTCAAACTTTCCACTGCCGGTTTTCCGAACTACTCAAAATTTCCACTACCGGTTCTCCAGAACCTGTTAGAATCTGCTGGATTTTACCCCTGATACATACATACATACATACATACACATACATATCAGAGGTGGGATTCGCATAATTTAACTACCAGTTTGCCCAGCACCAAAAATGTGAGATATTTCTAAAATACCTTGTCTTCTACAGAAAATTGTCGCCCCCCTTTCCTATATACAATTAAATTACTCCTAATTACATCTCAACGTTATTTGTGGGGGAAACTTCACAAAAATTCCCTGATCTGGTAGAGGAGATTCAGAGGAGGAAATATATATAGAATATGTAGGTGTTCTGTATTTTATTAGTTGTGTACTTTGTTTATCTTTGTGTACTTTTTTCTGTTTACTGTACTTATACTATATCAAGTTGACTTATTTTACTAGATGCAAGCATATAGCTTATAGAAGAGTTACTTGATTGGATATGTCAATCCATCAACAAAATGTTGCATTATTGCAATAATGCAACATTTTTGTTGATGGATTGACATATCCAATCAAGTAACTCTTCTATAAGCTATATGCTTGCATCTAGTAAAATAAGTAAAATATCTAGTAAATATCTAGTAAAATATCACCAATAAATTGGTGATAAATTGTATTTTAAAAAATGTATTTTAGATTTTCCCGAGTACAAGTGTTTAAAAAAGAGAAAAATCTATTAAATTTGAAGAAAACAAAATTCAAGTGATTCTCTTATTCATAAACCAAATTCAGGGCAATGACCTACCCCTAATAATTGTTGCTTTGATTTGGGGAGTAATGTGAGATGATTTTCATAAGACCTATAAGTCATGTTCCTCATTTGAGGAACATCTAAAATTATCACAAAAATAAGGAAGATATAACCCTTTGGCTTTTAGTAATTTAAACACTGATAGGATGGGCACACACAGAAATGATATATGTGTTGTTTGAAGCCCCTTCTGATACATCTAGCATCATGATTTCTGACAGGACAATCAGACTTTATGACATCTTCATAACTGAGGAAATTGCACTGTCCATTGTTATAGGCCATTGACCAGGAGATATTAAATTTTGATACAAGAAATGCTCACAAAAGTACAGCCTTTTGAAAATCTAGCACTGATTTGCTGCTACAGTGGTTTCAGAGGTGAGATTATATCTTGAAAAACTGCCTATGGTTTCCAAACCTATTTTCTCATTGCCTCCGATTACTTCTAAAAAGTAGATACCAAAATTTCTTCCACAGTCTAGTGGTCAGCATGTTGCCTCCTACATAGCATTTCTTACTACTTTCCTACATGGGAAGGTATGCTATTGTGTCACTAAGCCATTTTTTTTATGAAATCAAGATTCATTGATTTCTCTATTCTTATCTGTTTCTTAGTATATACTGTGCTATTGGCAATAGCACTTAGACTTATATACCATCTCATAGTGCTTTATAGCACTCTCTAGGTAGTTTACTTTTTCTTTAAGAGAACTACATCTTGCTGTTAGTTGAATCACCAAGTATTTTACCTTATTTGTGACCTGCATCTTTGAAATCTCCCTCAGTTCTTCTTTTTGTTTTTTTAACATATTTTTGGTCATTATCTTCGTCTTTTCTCTAGGTAGTTTACGATGCAGCATATTACCCCCAACAATCAGCATTGTCATTTTACCAATCTTGGAAAGAAGGAAGCCTGAGTCAACCTTGAGACCCATCAGGATCAAACTCCAGGCTGTGGGCAGAGTTTTCCTGCAATACTGCATACTAACCTGTGATGACTTCCCCAGACAATAGTTCGAACCATAAAGAGCCAGACTCAGGGGTATGTGGAGGAATACTCAGAGATTGCCAGCGGCTATGAGTCAGGAGGAGAGGAGCACAGTGGAGTGACTGAATGAGCGGCCAGCTGAGCTAGGGACAGAAGAGGCACAGCTGTAGCTGGGAAGCCCAGAGGCTTCAGATGGAGAGGGCATCAGCTGCAGCTGATTATCAGAGATGGATAATAACTGCCTCTTCCTCCCAATCTGAGATCACATAGGACTGAGAGGAGGCAGGCACAATGAAAGTCAGCCAGGCTACCTGCAAGGCGGCAGCCTCACTCCTCTTGATGGACTGTATTGGGAAACAGCTATTTAGCTCAGCGAGTGGAGTGAAACAACACTGGAAATAATGTGTCTGTTTCCTTGTTTCTTCAGCCTTCATGATTCTTGCCTTGGCACTCAAACTAGATTCTGTACCTTGTGTTGTGGTCCGCCAGCAGCCTGCGGAGCTGGCAGCAGAGTCGGACAATGAGGAGGATGGGGAGGAACATGGGCCAGTCCTGGAGTCTGGGGAAGGCTTGGACGAGGGCTCTGCACCAAAGGCAGAGATGGGGCCACGGCCATCTGGGAGATATGTGCAGACTCCGGAGCCTCTAGAGTCAGACATCAGAGAGGCAGAGGAACAGGGGGAGCCTGTTCCTAGTGCACGCATCCGCAGAGCTGCCAGAAGGCAAGAACAGCTAAAACAAAAGGACGACTCGGGAGTAAGGCTTGGAGATGATTGGCCCCTCCCATAAGACATAAAGGAAGAGCAAGGGCACGTGGGCCTTTGCAGGAAGCAACGTTGTGGATGGTGTGGTTTGTACTTTGAAGCACTGTTTTTGATTTTGTGTTTCTGTGTGGCCTTGCCAAGATAATTGCCAATTAGGTCTTTGGCAGCATGTCAAAAAAGATAAAGGTGGGTGTTTACCAGCCTTATCCGAAGGACTGTGGCAGACTTCTATTGGACTATTTATAAACTTGGTGATTCAGCACATGCTGTGAATGAAAGGAATTCACAGCCATTAAAATAAAAAAAGGGGGTTTGGGGACTAATTATGTGCTTTTTATTATATCAGGAAGCCTAGGTCAGAACACCTTGAACTTTTGAATTCTGGAACTTGCTTTTCAGTCCTCGTGGACTTCCCTTGCCTTTGTGCTGTGTACTGGTGCTGGCTTTTCTTGAGAAGCCTGTTGAACTCATGGGGAGGGGTGCTAATATTGGCAAAGGGAATTGCAGGGGAATACTAATTCTGGCTTTGAAGCCTTAATAAAGGCTCCTAACACCACAGCTGTGGTGTGTATGTGTGTGTGTGACAGCACATACAGAAACTATTGTGCCATCAGGGTTCCTATTAAACAAAGCTAATGAACAAATAGAAATTCCAAATCTTCCAAAGAGTTTTCTAAAAGATTGTTTTGTCTCTATCCTACACAGATAGTGTTTATGAAACATTACTGGTTTTGAAAGAAATATTAATGTGTCCATATGTTTAAAAATGTTGATTATATAAAGAGAAAAATCACATAGAAAAACCTACCTTCTGTATTAATAACTGGTTGCTTTTGCTGAATATTGAAAAGGTACATTTACTGGTATGAAGGATATCTCTAAATGCATAAATTCAAAGGTTTTGTTACAGCAAACTTTTATTCATGTTACAAGAGTCAGAACCTATTAAATGTGGTTTAACAGATTCTGGTTCTGTTTATACCGAATTTGCCATTGGCCTTAGGATATTATATATGATCTAAATTAATGATGGAAGGGCATTGTATTATAAAGCTGGAATAAGAATCAAACTGATTTAATAGCGCCACACTTATCAGGGATTGATGGAAAGATGAGAAAACTCTCTGAGTTGATTTGTATTTGAACTAAACTTCCATCAAAGAACATTAGCATTCTCTGACCTTGTCCCTAATTAACCACGACAGCAAATATCAACCAATCACCTTAGTAAAAATTGGTCATCCGGAAAATATTACAGTTATAATTAATGGATATGCTTTTATTAGATAGCTTATACTTTCTTCAAAAAAAAAAAAAAAACCCACACAACTTAGATTTTAATATGATTATCTTCAGCCTATTTATGATTGTCATTTGGATTTTAGAAATGAAAAATGTATCAACCTATAGTACAAACGTATTTCAAACGTGTTTTTTTTTAAATGATCCTTTTGCAAAGGAAATAGCATTAGGCTCCCTCTGGTGAACTGCGTCTCTGGAAAGTAGTCCATCATCCTGCTGTTAAAGATACAAAGATTAAATTAAAAAATTTAATATAATACTAGAGTTTTCTAGTATTGTGAACATATTCCTGTGCAAAAATGCAAAGACATATTTTCAAGCTACTCAGAACAAGTTTGCCAAGTTCACATATATCATTTAAGTACCAAATATTTTCATTACCAAAGGTAATATGAAGGACCTACTCTCTGGAATTCACTTAGGCTAGGAGAGTTACTAGAGAAAGAATTTGAGAACAAAAGATGATTCATCCCAAACTCTGCCCAAAGTGGGCTCAACTGAACAACATGGAAACCTGTCAGATACATTAATTCACTCCTCTATCCAATCCAATTTGCTTCTTTAGAGCAAATATAAAGGTCTGCCATTGTTTCCTTTTTTTAAAATTGGTTTTTATTGTGAAATATAGAAATACAATTCAACATTTTTCGGTCCGTGGTGTTAAATATAACTACATATTATTTACATATTATTTACATAGTATTGCATCTTTGCTTGTATATGATTTGGATATTATTACAAATAGTAATGCACAGTTCTTTATGATCATATATACATGTTGCCATTGTTTCCTAATTTCATAATGCTCAACCCCATTATGTTTGTACATATGGTCTTTGTTGTATCTTCTTCACATATGTTTGAAATAACCATAATATATCAATCTAAAGGCAGATGAAATGGACAGTATGCTATAACTACGTAAGCAATTTATTCACCTTCATGCTAGAGTTTAGGTTCAATTATTAGAATTAAATGCCGGAGTCATGTCTGACAAACTTTGGTATTCTCATCTATTAAATATGGTAATGACTATCACTTTAGGCAGATTGAAAGTGGATTCCATTATTTTATCATGGAGAAAAGGACTAGCCATGACTATGAGATATCATAGCTGTAATTTAAACATTCGTTTCTATAGAGCAGTAATGAAAGCAAGAGATCATCTTCCTGTCACACATCTAAGCTTCCTAGAGCGATCCAGCAGGTCACTTGCATAACACAGAGTTCTGAAATAGAATAAGCAGAATTCTATATATGTTCTTATCTTAACAATAATAAATTAGTGAACATGAGGGCGCTGGAAACATATGAAATGAAGGAGTGATCTACAAAGTACAACTGCATCTACAAAGTACAAAAACAATCCAGACTGTCCAGATGAGCTTTTGTGAAAATCCTGTTGCACAATGCAGGGATTACATCCCCCATTTAACTGTCCCATGAATCTCTGTTTTGCCCATCCTCCTTTCCCAAATGTTATTAGCTGATCACTATAAGTGTCAACAGCACTAGAACAATTATTCTTTGGTTTAGGGATTGCTGAAACAAGAGAACACAATCTCTACAATCCTTTTCCCCTGACACCTGGATTCTTACTACTAGTGGCCCACATGTATACCACAGGTATATACTCACAGGTATACTATTTCTGTGTAGTAAAAAAAAAAAGAAAGTAACACCTTTTTTGGTGTTCTGACTTCCTGAACAGTTCCTGAAGTTTTTCTGGTAACAGTACAGAAATGATTTAGGGTTTGGCTTTTCGGAGAAGTTGTTTTTACCTTTAGTCTAGCTCTAGCATAAAACCATGATATTCCCTGGTAGGCATCCATCCAACACTGAACCAGGTCTGGGCCTGCTTAGTAACTTAGTAGTAAATTAATTTGCATAGCATTCAGTCTTTGTATAGCATATAAATCTGCAGCATGGATTTACTCCTGGAAAATAAATATTTCCCAGAATAATTCCTTAGATTCTTAAATTTATGACAGATCTGTTAGTAGTGGTATTCAAGGTATTTGTGTACACTTCCAAAAGACCTATTAATCACCATTCTTGCTCTTAAATCAAATTTTAAATCAAATGGGAATTCCTATGAATTTTCAAAAGAAAATATTCAAGACATAAAGATCTGTTCAAACATTTTTTTAAAGTTCAGAATGACTTTTCACTATACATAATGTCTTTCTTCTTTAAGCAATCAAAATTTTTATAGTTGTCTAAAAATGCCATTAGGATATATCCCAAAACAATCGAAAAGAGTTTTGGAAGGCTGGGTGTTTAATTATTTGATTCAGATATAAAGTTTTACACAAAAGGTTACCACATAGAAAATTATGGTAAACATACAAATTGTATGTTTCAGTGAATCCCTAAGTCAGCACAAACTGATTTAGATACTAAGTTAAATATGATAACTTTCTACAGATTTGAATTCATCTTTTATATTTTATAGACATTCTACAATTTTGTTCAATTTATTTGGCAATATAGCTGCTATTTGTCCCACCTGTATCATTGGAACCATGCTCCATCTGGATTATTGTGAAAGTTTCAAAACAGTGGCCAATATGATTACTGAAATGAAAAAAGAATCTGTGATGTTAAATATCTATGGAGATTCTCAGTCATCCAGGTCATGGTTGTTCCAAAGATGCTTTTTTTCAAGACGCAACTGGACTTCCTTGTTTTTTGTTTTTTTTTTTGAAGACATTTTGCTTCTTATCCAAGAAGCTTCTTCAGCTCTGACTGGATAGTTGGGAATGGAAGGATTTATATTCCTTGCAGGTAGCTGGCCATTTGCATTCTTTTAGAGAGTTATTGAGGCCACTTGGAGAGGTTTATCTGTGTCCTCGGGTTTTGGTTATCACCTTTAGGTTGGCTTAGGACCTGGTTATCTACGGGGCCGCCTGCTACCACCAATAGCCTCCCACCGGCCAGTACGCTCCCCTAGAGAGGGGCTCTCCGGGTGCCGTCGGCCAAACAATGTCGACTGGCAGCCCCTAGGGGGAGAGCCTTCTCTGTGGGGGCACCTATGATCTGTAACAAGCTCCCCCCAGAGATATGGAGGATCCCGGATCTGCGCACCTTCCATCGCGCGCTCAAGGCTTTCTTATTTCATCAAGCTGGCCTGGCCTAAATCTTTTCCCCTTTTAAATGTACATTTTAATTTGTTTTTAAATTATTGGGTATTTTAAATTTGTCTCAGCCAAATTATTTAATTCATTTTTATTCTATTTTAAATTTTTGTGTTTATGTGTTTTATTCTGTGGCTGTTCACTCCCCCCTGAGTCCTTCGGGAGTAGGGTGGTATATAAATCCAATAAAAAACAAACAAAAAACAAAAAAACCTGAATAGTGCAAATGGATGTGGCGCCTTTTTGGGACTGCTGAAAGGACTGTATTGTAGACTGGAGATAAATGGAAAAGAAAAGAAAAACAAGAAAGTCCAGCTGCCTCTTGAAAAAGCACCTTTGGGACAATCTGTGATGTTGATCCTGGTGATTGTATAGTACAATACATTTTTGAAGATTTTGTCCTCCAATGAAATGTTCGTTCCAAATTCAGGTGCAACAGCTGCAGATTTTTGAAAAATGTGGTCAGTTAATAAATCAAATTATTTTAAATACAGTCTGGAATACATTTATTCTCTTCCAGAAAGAAGTCATATACAAAAAATAAATTAGTACTAGTCTGCTTTCTTGTTTATTCCTATTTCTCTGAATAGGGATTATTGGTAAAGCCTCAAATTTACGGATTTCAGTGATT